AGCGTGATAGACAGAACATAAAAAACAAAAGTAATAATTCTATGAGGTATGATCCTCCTACTCCAAGATTATCACATACCTTTAGCGTTGACCCAGTTCGCATTGAGATTCGGAAGGGTAGACTGGTCGTTCAGCTGCTCTATCGGTTCCTGAGGTTCCTGATATATCTGGAGAATGCTGCTCGACCGCCGCCTCCTAGCCGACTTAGAATCACCCATGTCTAGATACGTGGTACCTCCCCGTCTTGGAGGATTTGTACCAACGTCGTAAGAGACGGTGCGGGGAATGAGGATTGGGGAAGACACTTTGGCGGTATTGGACGAAGAACTCGAGTTGGATTTTTCGGTTTTGTTCGTCATCCAGATAGCTCGACCCGGAGAACTCTATTTTATTTTCTCTTCGACGTACCAAAGAGGATCGCGTGCAAGTACGATATTGCTATTGTGACGATAGAGTTGGAGAGGATCCGAAGGAACGGCTAGCCAATCAAGTGCTAGACGTGGTGGCGTAAAAGTAGAGGGGGGGGACTAGGTAGTCTAAGGGGTATCGCAGAGAATGCAGCCGATGCCGAAGAGTAAGAAAAGCTAGAGATGCCGTGTTAGGAGAGAGGAGTCGTAAAGGACATGAGGAATCGAGCGTCGAATGCAAGATGATGCAAGATGGAGCAAGGAGAGAGAGATTCTAGTACCGTAGCCCCTAGACAGAGAGAAAAGACGAGGAGTGGAAATAATTGATTGACGATGAATACAATTAATTGAAGTGCATTACGAATAAAGTAGTAGATCGCGAAGTTTAGAAGAATGTTAAGAGAGGTTTAAGAGAGGTTGAGAGGGAAATCAGGTTGAATCTAAAGGACAAGAATGGATATGGAAGGTGATGATCAAAGAGTAGCAGCGAAGTATTAATTCAGTCTAAAATCAAGCAAGCATTTGGAACAAGGACAAGTTTACGAGATGGGTACAAGAGCCAAGGGCCAAGGACCAAGGACCAGAAGGGCCAAAAGGGCCAAAAGGGCCAAGAGCGAAGATTTAGAAGCCTTCTATTGGACAAGGGGACACACTAGGCACAACTTTCTACTTGGGTAATAGCTAAGATGCTACTAGGCTTAGGTACCCTGGGTACCTAGCTGGGTACCTAGCTGGGTACCTACCAGGTAGGTAGCTTTTGCACAGCCTGGACCGCGTGGCTGCAGTTGGAGATTTCGGGGGTTTGCTGGGTCTCCGGTCATCTAAGGTCATCTAAAATCATCTAAGTACCCGGTAGGTTAATCTTGCGTTAAGCTTTGCTCCAAAGGTACCTAACCTTAAGTGCCTTAGGTACTCATCGAAAGGGTCAGGGGTACTACAGAGTCTCACGAGACCACGTGATGTTCTATATGGTGTTCCATTCCTTCCCAAGCAGTCGGGCTCCGCGGAATTCGACCTAAATTCGTTATCATTTTTAGGCTATGTTGTTTAGAGAGATAACCCTATCAATATAAAACAGTATACAGCCCCGCTAAATGCTACTCTAATCTGGTTACATAGCTAGCGTGTTTCAATTTCTAGATCGCCACATGTCCAGTGCAGGTGGTCCGTGTAAAATGCTGCCGCTCGGACATCTTTTCCAAGTCACTGGCGGCAGGGCGGTAGGTAAGAGTTACATTGTACAATGCGTACATGTATTGGACGCGCGACCACTGTAACCTCGTACATGTACCCAGTAACAAAAATGTTACCAGGGTCCATTAATTTCTGAAGAAAAAAAAAAAAAACATTTGAAGAGCCGCATCATCAACATTCATCAATTTGATGATTATGCCCGACACCTACCCACCGCCGAACCTTTTTGAAAATAACACACTTCTCGAAGTTGCGATCCGTAAGGGAAGGTCATTACTACCGACGATCTCTAAATGCGCTTTTATCTATTTGCTTCGAGTGAATACCTAAGAGTAAGGTAGTTATTTGAAAACAACAAGCTAAGGAAGTATTTTGCCTTGTCTTGCGCAAGTGAAACCTACGGCTCAGCAAGAACGCGGCGCCGCGGCAAGATCACGGCAGGTAAGCTTTATTACTAGTTACTAGTACTGTATTGTTTTGCCCCACACGACGTATTCTACGCCCTGTGGGTTTCAATCTTCTTTTTTCTTCTCACAACCACGGCATCATCATTCCTCTTTATTGTTGCGGCTCTCCACTAAACTGTGATGAGCGGCGCTACCGAGGCATCCGCCCCCAACGCCGGCCAGGGCACCATTGGTACTCCTGGTAGCCTACCAAACCAAAAACGCCCGCTCGACTATGGGGAGCAATTGAAGGGTTTGTCCCCATCCGATGATGAGGATCACCCGAACGACGCTTCATTCCCAGCATCGAAGAAACAGAAAAGGGACAATTCTGATAGCGGTCATGATTCGGATTTGGACGACGGCGAAATAGTAGAATCGAGTCCAAATAGTCCAGCACATGTTAATTCCGTCGCCGAGGCTGTGGCAGCTCCCTTCAAAACATCTGCCCCTGATAACGTTACGCATGAGCCTTCCGAGGACGGTGAAATTGGTAGCCCCATGGCTAAGCCTCAGGAATCTAATGAACTGAACCAACCTTTTTTTATCGATAAGACTGGAAGCAAGCCTGTTCAGCATTCAGGGTGGAATCACGGGCTGAGTCTAGGCGCAAGAACGTCATTCGGAAAGCCAGCTGCGCAATTGTTTCCTCCATCTTCGCAGCGCGGTCAAGATGGCGGTGGTGGCGAAAGAGAAGAAGAAGAAGGCGACGACGATGACGAGGAAAAAGATAGAGATTACGTGCCACCCGCTGAATCGATTGATAATGAGCCACGCCTTACATTCACTATCGACGAAAGCACCTGGTATCTCCCTCATATAACTTTTCGTGCTAAGAAGCATTCTGTTCATACGACGGCCTTCTGCAACGACAGAATTCAGACCTGGATTAATGCGTTTCTCGAAGCAAACGAAAAGACGATTGATCAAGTATCTGTTGAAGTGATTCGAGAAGGTCTCAGCAATCACATAAACCGCAAAGGAGGACATAAGCTCTTCAAGGGCACTAAAAAACATGCTGATGCTGCTACAAGTTCAGCTCAAAAAGCCATGGATGACCCTGGCCTTGAAGGGTTAGTTGAGAAAAAAATCAGACAGTTCCGAACACGGAAAGCCAAGCCAGCAACAGGCAAAAATTCTAAAGAAAGTAAAGTTGCACCAGCCAACAAGCCTAGCCAAGATGCTGTTCCCGTTACAGATAAACAAGAGGAGCAGGTATTGAATGAAGAGGACGAACTGCGACAGCAGCGAAAATATTTCCCATGGGCAGAGGATCCAGCTCAGTACTGTCTATCCTGTTCTGGAATTGGGCATCGCGCTCATGAATGTCCGCAACGCAACTGTAAATTCTGTGGCAGCCAGGAGCACTCTTTGTTTGGCTGTCCCACAAAGCAAAGATGTTCCAAATGTCGTCAATTGGGGCATAGCAGTGCAAGCTGTGGGGAGAAACTTGCCCTCACATTAGATGAGCAAGGCGGTTGTGCAATATGTGGTGCTGAGCATGCAGAAGAAGCATGCTCTGAAATATGGAGGAGTTTCGCTCCAATTGCTAGTATCAACAACAAAGTCAAAGACGTTCCATCATTTTGTTACACTTGCGGCGCCGCAGGTCATTACGGGCCGGAGTGTGGATTACCGGATAGGGGAGATAAAGTGACAGGAAAAACGACATGGTCACAAGCCAATCGCCTTCTTTACATGGACCAGAAGAGCGAGAATATTGCTATCGCTTGGGTAGGTGTAGAACAGAAGGAAGATTTCCACATTCTAGGAAGGGCTAAAAGGCAAACTCACACCCATTTTGTCTCTAGCGAGGAGTCAGAAGACGAGTTTGTTCACGCGCCCGTCAGGAAGCCAGAACTCCGAGGTCAGATTAGAATAGCAACCAATATCGGATCTTTAGGAGAAAGTGGTAACAATGACCGACCGCGCGTCGACGAAAGATATAGGCGTCGACAGAACATAGATTTTCACCCTCCGCCTCCATCACCGTACGGTCAAGGCCGTGGGAACTCTTGGCAACCACCTCTTCCGCCAGGACCACCGCCACCCTCTCAGAGGAACGGATACCAAGGATCCTTGCCATACGCGCCCACGTCTTTACCTCCGCGTCCGCCAGCCTATAACCAGTCCCCTAGTAAAGGCGGTTCAGGTGGCAGGGGTGGCCATTTTGGCCGAGGTGGGCGGGGTGGACGAGGTCGCGGAAGGGGGAGAGGACGAGGACAATGATTTTTCTTACGTTAATAGCATGTTGAATACCTGATGTTAGGTGAGCTGCCCTCGTCATGTTGGTGCACGAATAGCCGTTGCCTAGATGCGGAGTGGGTATGACTTCACAGCTGACTGGGCATATCTGATAAACTAAGACATGATGCGATTAGATTTAATATGAAGTGTATTCAAAACTGAGTTGCTGATTGTTCATTCGCTATTCTTCGTCTATCAGGTCCTAGCCTTATTCTCAGCCATCTTGCATGCCTTGATACCTCTCTAGGTAAGCTTCATATCACTAGCAAAGCGAGGACATGGCTGAATGAGCTCACTTGTGCCTTTATGAGCATGTTTCTTTGCAGCCTGGATCAGAGTCATGACAGGTCATAGAAATTAGTAAAATATCAAGTATCTTCGGTACTATACACTATCTAAGCCACACAGAGCGAAATCGCCCGATGATGGAGGCTTAGACTGTCCCTAAACTTGACCGTCTTTTCCCTTTCGTCTTTCATCAGCTGTCCGTCCCAACGTACGTACGCGTAAGGACTCTTAACAGGCTCTTAATGAAGTACAGTACGATGTACACATAAACCAACGCGATGCCCGCCTCTAGTACCAGATATTCTAGTCCTAGTTTCTGCACACTAGTAACCCGCAGCTGGGGTTCACTTATAGCGGGAGTTTACCACGAGTCATTCCATCAACATCCGACCAGATGGTACGCCATCTCCATTAGTCGGCCCGGTTAGCTCAATCGGTAGAGCGTGAGACTCTTAATCTCAAGGTTGCGGGTAAGTTTCTATTCGTTCATTCATTCTCGCATTCTGAGATTCGTACATATATATATCTCTCTTGCGAGCACATCTGGCTAACATCACCGCAAAGGTTCGACCCCCGCATCGGGCTCAATTCCTGATGCTTCCCAGTGAACTGGGATTAGCAACCCTCTCTTTTTTGACTATTTTTTTTTTCTTTCTATCTTCTTGAACAAGCAAATAAACCTAACTTCTTTGAGTTAATTCCAAGTCTAGTTATCTGCGATTGAGAAATGATCCTTTGTGGATTGGAATATTTTTGCTAGGGCTTATACTCGGAATCAGTGTCGGCCCGGGATTAAATCCCAACATCCATCTCGACTTATTACATTCTGTCTCCTGGACATATCCTCACATGTCAACTGGACACAGTGAAGTAAACTTGAAATCTGATCGATTTGATTAGATATATCAAATCTTCAATGGATTGAGATTGGATGTCAGGTATCAGACGTCAGACCTAGGAGGACAAAGGATATGTTTTGTGTGTATCGCTCTGGCTCCCCGAGCTATGCTATCTCGTGACATTGGACAGATCTTGATAAGCTACGTACTTCACCGTGTCTAGTTGATATTTGAGGATATTAGAATCACCTATATCAAGTAATTCCTTAAATGACTTCTCAATGAGATACTTCAAATACCACATGCGTTATGGACCTGTATTTCCCTGTTGACTTGAGATTTGACTTGTTGAGAGCCAATGGTGGGCACATCTCTTCACGACGTGCCCACCCAAAATGAAGACTGTAAACAATTCCTTTGTCATGGCGATAAAAATAAATAAATAAAGCAACAGCTGGATAATAAGAGAGACTATAGTCAATATATTTGCCTTATGCCAAATCTTATGTGATAAGTGAAATGAATGATGCTGTTATGGGAATATAACATACATATATCATTTCTTGTTAGGTGCCCTTAACGATGAAGATACGTTCGCTGCGCCGTATTTCCATCATGTTCACCAGTCCTAACCGTACCACCGAGTCTGCCTCTCCCCAAAATGTAGCATCAGGTCCCAACACTCTTACTCCCCCAGGCCTCCGCAACGGTCCCAGCCGGAGCCTTTTCGAGCTGGGAAAAGGTTCTACTACCTCCGGCTCATATTTGAAGATATACCAGGACGGGATAGAAATCCGTCTTCCCGAATCGGATAGAAGAGAATTGAGTCCGCTTGTGGCAAATAATCCGGGCCTGCTCCCTTATCCCTGTCGGCACGCCAAGGCGCAAGAACCAAAAACATCGACGACTATGGATTTAGTCATGGCGCATGCGGAGATCAGGTCGAGAGAATCGGCTGCCCATGCGTTCTTTCCTAGAAGGCCGGATATGTACAGGAAGAAGTGCGATATGTCTCCTAGGGCGCACTAGGTACCCAGTATCCGTGTCTGGGTCTGGCTGGTTCCAGGGGGGCAAGACCTCACTAGGTAGTGAGAAGATTGTTGGTGAGTGTGTTTAGAATTGGGAGAAGAATGGCCGGAAAGTCATATTATCTTATAGATGGGGGGTTGTGGCTTTTTCGAAGAATTCAGGACGTGTCGGCTATCTACCGGTTTTCAGCTCGTCTGAGGCACGCGAGGTTAGGTAGGACATCCTCAGCGTTACTTTCTAGCCGTCACTGATATCAGAAAGTCTCACTTTCAGGGTCACGGTTGCAGTTCTAAAGAATTGATTACCGTTTGGAATATAGTTTCATCCATGAATTTGTATATATCCCCATTGGCTTGGCAAGCCTGATGAAACCTACGTGTTTGTCATAGTAGATATCTCTTAGCAATTTGCGCTCTCCCAAGGACACCAAATGAATGGTATAGCTTTCGGTGTTCGTGATCAATGCTCGGGATATGAAATGATTTTCATTGCGACTTTGGATTCACCCATCCTGCTTCTATCTTGATGCGATTACCTGGATGAACTTCGCCTTTTTCCAAAACTTGCAGTAACTCAGCTCCTCCGCTTCTATAACAATATCCAATTCCAGTATCCCGAGCAGTGCAGTACATATTGGCAACACCCAGTTTGCGAAAAAAAAAAATTGGTAGGCATCATGCTACCTTTTTCTGTTGCTATGGTATCATTCATCTCTTCGCTAATACTCAACATACCTACTTGAAGAAACGGACCTGGCATGTAAATGCGGTATAGGCTATCAGAAAAATGCACTTTTAGTATCTTATCGTCAGTGGCTTTGTATTGCGGAGGAAGTAGGGTAGGGTGGTATTTTGCGGGTATCGCCGACGTAGTGAGACCTGTTCTCCGATCGTTCTCTCGCTTTCATTACCTAAATTCAACTACACGCGCCGCCGAACTTTTATGAAATGTCACGGTATGACAAGCCCGGGTGTTGAAGAGCCTCGCGGATTTATGAATGTCCAATGCCGATAGCCCTTGGATTCTACGTTGTAAGTAATGTGTTGTAAGTAGTGAGCAGTGTGACGATGAGTGAGACTGGTCTGGCCTGATGTCGGAGACAGAAAACGTCATCTCTTGACGCCGTCAGATAATTCAGAAGGCAGATAACGCACGATTGCCATTGATTAGATTGATATACCGTCAATCCTTTCACTTACGCTGATATAAGCACTAGACCAATTTAATGATCAAGTATTAACATGAGGCTTCGAAACTCGTACGATGATATCTGATTCTTCAGCTGTGGAATTCTTGATTGGGCGAGATACTTTACGATATATGACCGATTTAGGATTTGGGTAGCACATGTGGTCTCGTTACCCAATGTCTTACCCCTGATCCTCTCAGGTTCCCTAACCGACTACTTGTTTCACAATGTAACGCATGGCCCTCGCTTCTTTGCCGAAGACATGCGGCTTTGGACGTGGTATCGGCAGCGGCTCCATGCTCACCTTCCAAGAGGTAGCCGTCCTCTTTCCCACCTCATCCCACAGCGACTGGAACGTCGCCTCGCCATGCAGGAAGATCCTGAACCTGTCCGTCTCGGCTGGATCATCGCTCCCTATATGGCGCCCGAACAGCACGGCTGGGCTGTTCGCCGTGCCTAGATCGGGCTTGAAAAAGCGCACGATGCGCTCGCAGATGACCAGCTGCGACTCCCAGCTAAACAAGTGGAAGAAGTTGGATGCGTGGATGACGGATATCTTCCCGTTCAGCGTCTGCGCTAGGGGGCTTGCTGCATACTGCTCGTCTGGGAGCAGTATATCCCCCGCGACGAAGGTAGCTTTCGACGTCGAGCGGTCGCGGAACTGCTCGTAGCCTAGCTCGAGGAACTCGGCATGCAAGTCTGTTCCGTACAGGCGTGCCGAGTCGACCCCTATGTAGGTGAGCCATCGTATTGTCTGGCATATGAAGCCGCCAATCTCAAGAAACGTGTCTTTCGAACCAGGGGCCGTGAGCCTCTCTACTGCTTCGTGCATCTCCGGTTCGCTGTCGCCAAATTCATTAAGACGCAGGTAGGTGAAAGAACCAACGCATGGGTACTTTGCGATCTCCCAAGCCTTGCTTCGCTAGTAAAGACATAGGCACGGGTTAGAAACGAAAGCTAATATCGGGTTAATGGGTAATTGGCCGGGAGGAAAAGCAGGCTCTCATCTTACAATCCGGGAAATCTCCGCTTCAACCTCGCATGGGGGTATTTTGCTATAATTCTCTAGTAGCTCACGAAACCGACCGTTTTCCCATGGGATAACGTCCACGTACATGTCCCTGTCCCATGCTCCGTCTTCGTCAGCGCCGAGATGCTTCTCTGTTTCCTTACCCCACCTCTCCGTGTTAACGGCGGCGGTGATGCTTGCCATGGTTCGGTATACTACCTAGTAGGCTAAGTTAAAATCGAGCTGATAACTGAGAAGGTGGTGTGTTAATGGAGGGTGAATAGAGTTGGAAGTTGAAGATGTCGATTCTATAGATATTACCTATCTCCTCTCGGACTTAAATCCCGGGAACGTCGGGTCTCGGAAAGATTATTTGGAGTCCGTCGTGATATGACAAAAGCGAAGTCCTGCATATCGAATCGACATAGGTACAACCTAGGTAATTTAAGGTAGTCGATCTCATACGTGGCACAGAACGGCGTCAAACAATCTGCCGCGCCTAAGAGGTATTGAAGGTGATAATATGAGAGTGCGTCACCTTTTTTTTTTCCTTGTTTTTTTTTTTTTTTTTTTTTTTCGACGCCTTTCTGGTGGCATTGCTCTGATTTAGGTACCTCTAAGATAACAATGTAGCACTAAGATGACACTCGGTCTGTTTACAGTGACATTCCATTGCATAAGGCACAATACAATACGCTACCTAAGGCAATTGAGTTATGTCATCCGTATATTGCCTATTAGGTAATACTGAGCTATACAGGCAACTGCGAAGCATATTGTATGACAATGAAAAACTTTACTCAATTAGTATCAAATCTCAACCTGGCAAGATCATCATCGCCCTGTTAAATTTTCCATAATGTTGGAAGATTTTAATTTGTTGGAAGTCCAAGCCGATTTCGTATCGCGAGCTCCATCACTTCATACCGCGCTTTGACTTTCTTTCAATAACGCCTCAAACTTTAATCCGACGCGCTGCTTACCGTCTTGGCTAGCAAACATGATCGTATCGACTCCCCAGCCGGGACAATGCACCGATAGAGTATGGGGTAAACTGCAATGCTGTACCTATTGTTTTGCTATTGGTGCGGCTAAGACTAAAAGATGATGTACAGAATAATGTGTATGCGCTCCGTAATCGTCTGTTAAGACCGCGAAATCTTCGGAGAAAAGCCCAGCTCTCCTAAAGGAGACGTGACAACTCCTATCTTAATTCGAATATATGCGTTTCAAGACCGATACTCGACCCAGAGGCTGCTTTAAGCATCCCATAAAACCCCATAAAACATGTTATCACAAGCTTGGAGTTATTTGCAAATTGACCAATAGCACTATCCACGAAGAAGAGGCCAAGGAAAGGCCGTCGGGATTCTACGAGTAGCATGCAGTGCATTGCGGCGACTCAGCGTCTAGCAGAACAGGA